AGACGGGGTTTCACCATGTTGACCAGGATGGTCTCGATCTCTTGACCTCGTGATCCACCTGCCTCGGCCTCCCAAAGTGCTGGGATTACAGGCTTGAGCCACCGCGCCCGGCCGATCTCTCAGTTTTATCTTTTTTACCTGTCACCATTTTCTCAGTTTCTCTCTGCATTTTGATGGTCAATTACTTTAATTCTGTTTTTCAGGATTTTTAATTGCTAAAAGTGATACCAGATTTTCTATGCTAGTTATAAGGATAGAGATACTAACTTTGTGAGATAAACCACTAACAGCCAGTTCTGTAGCTACTATTTAAAAATATTTCTCTTTGGCGCTTATTTTAAAAGTTAGCTATTTTACATTAGGTAAACTTTTGCCTAGTTTAAATTTACAAACTTTTGAGATATTCAGATTCCTGGTAGCATAAGTTAAAATCTACACTTTATATTCCAAATAGTATCTCCTTTTCATATGATTTGGCCTGAAATACTGACATAGTAGGATTAAGGTTGACAGTAAAAGACTTACTAAAGGATGCTAGATAAAATGTCCTGTTCACACATCTTATAGAATAGCATTTATTTATTTTCCTTTTCTAACTTAGTATTATAAATAAAAACTTTTTGTAATTTAATATGTATTTTGGTTCCCAAATTTCATTACCAGATGACAGATACGAAGAATTTTAGGTGCCAGTTGATTCCTCAGTGCTGAATTGTTTAAGTATCTTAACTGACAATGCTATGGTTTTAAATCATAAGGTTGTTTTTAAGAGCAAATGTGACTTTTTTTTTACTGACCATTGCTTATCCTACGTAATAGAATATGGTCTCAAATTTTAGTCACTGAGATATACAATTCATTAATTTGATTCTAGGCTAGCCACGTAAAAGAGGGAGGAAGTGCTGGTCTCATTCCAAGCCAGTTCCTGGAAGAGAAGAGAAAGGCATTTGTTAGAAGAGACTGGGACAATTCAGGTGATGAGTTCGACACAATAAGTAACAAGCAGTCCTTTTGTGGCCACCTTTCTTTGTCTCTTTTGTCTGATTAAGCAAATTAATTTATTTAAACTATATCTAGAATGAATCCCTCTGCTTTCTTTTCTAAGTAATCTTTTTATCCCTTTCTGCCACCTGCTGGTAGAGTATCAAAATTCAGTGCCTTAACTCACCCCCACCCTCTTTTGCTTCCTAGAATGCAACATTGGGAAGATAATTCTCCCACCCCTATAAAATACTATAGGGCAATATTTTCATATTCTGACATGCTGTTTAAGTTATATTTGTTTTATGATCCTTCAGGACCTTTTTGTGGAACTATAAGTAGCAAAAAAAAGAAAAAGATGATGTATCTCACAACCAGAAATGCAGGTAGGTTTTAAATACTTTTTGAGAAGTCCAGGTAAAGTAACTATGTATCATTTTGTGTGGCAGAAACTCTGAATATACAGTTTAAAGTGGATGTAATTCGGATTAGTACCTAGTTGCAAGGGGCTGGCATATGAACACATGGTGCAATGTAATATAAATTATTTAAATCTTGATATTACGTATACTACCATGTGCTTTATTTTGTGAGTATAGTTTACAGCAAAACAAATTGGTTAGGATTTTTACTTGTCTTAATGAAGACGCAATAGTATAATTGAAACTGTCCAGAGAATTTTGAAATAGTAATTTGTGTGCCATTTCTAAGAGGTAGAATGCCTTTATCAGGATGTTACAAAAATTACATTTAAGGGCAACTGGTATCCTGCCATAACACTAACCATGATACTTTTAGAAAAATAGCACTGGACCAAATAAATCTTAGTCTGCTCTAGTAGAATTATTTCTTAAATATTTTAGTCATGAAGAAATATGTTTAAAAAGAAAGAAATGGTAACTATATGAGGTGACTGATATGTTTAATAGCTTAATTGAGGTAATCATTCACATAGTACACATTTATGAAACCATCAAGTTGTACACTTTATATACAATTCCTATTTGTCAGTTATACCTCAGTAAAGCTGAAAAGGTTTTTAAAAACAATGTAAAATAAGACCTCAGACCTGGATTGGCTACTCCTTTGCTATTAAAAATAAATAAATAAGAAGGGAAAGAATGGAAACTACTATATTTATTCTTCCCAGTTACAGAGGATGACAAGAGTAAAAAACAGCTCTATAAATCAGAAGGAGGCTTAATCAAAGGAGCTGGCAATTCTAAAAATACTTACTTGACTTCAGAGCTACCTCTATGCTCGTAATAAACTAAATAGCAAACCATGTAAGAAATAATATAGAAGAAAGAAGGGGGCTTGTTTTCTCTTAATATTGGTTTAATCTGTTGTGGGGAAATTGTGCAAAGAAAGAGTTGCTATTAGTATAATAAGCTAAGGAAGGAGTATTATTACTACAGATTGAGAGTTATAGTAATAACAAGTCATATATTTCAAATCACTTTGGCCCTATTATTCATTAAATATATGCCCATAAGGCCTTTTTGCAAAATAGAAAATTTGTAATTTTCCCACTAAGATTATAATTTTGGGTTATGTTTCTAGTGAAAACGTTTGGATCTAAAATTTATATGTAAATTTCAAAATCTTAATATTTAAATGTATGTTGTCAGTAAATGTCAGCATGTTGAATTTTCTAATCAAACTGATAATTGTAGATTTGCCATACAATATTTATTTATTTATATAATTGGAAGGTCACTCGTTATATGGAACTTATTTAAGCAACTACAGTAAGTTTACGCCTGTCCTCCATATTTGATACATACTTTTTATATAAACTGGTCTATAATTTGATTATTTATATTAAAGATTTTTACTGACAAACTGATAAAAAGTTTCAGTGGATACAATCTCTGATAAGTTGATAAAACATACAGTTTTTCTAGCTTGATTAGACAAATTTTTAAGGACAAATGGATGAAAGTAGATGTTTAGAGCAATATATAAAATAATTTATGGGCCAGGTGCAGTGGCTTATACCTATAATCCCAGCACTTTGGGAGGCTGAGGCAGGAGGATCACTTGAGGCCAACAGTTTGAGACCAGCCTGGGCAACATAGCAAGACCCCATCTCTACAAAAACAGTTTAAAATCAGCTGGGTATACTGTCTCATACCTGTGGTTTCATCTACTTGGGAGACTCCTTTGAGCCCAGGAGTTCAAAGGTACCGTGAGCTAAGATTGCACCACTATACTCCACCTTGGATGTCAGTGAGACCCTGTCTTATAAACAGTAATAAAATAATAATTATTTATTGTCCTTTGCCAAATTTGTAAAAACAAATGTGTGCTAAGTGGGTACAAGTCAAGTGATACTTAACTATTAAGACAGCTAAGCCATTACTAGACAGAATTGCAGAGATTATTTTCATGTGTATAAAAGATGACTGAATATGTTTTCCAATTTCCTTTTATGTTTAGAATTTGATCGTCATGAAATCCAGATATATGAGGAGGTAGCCAAAATGCCTCCCTTCCAGAGAAAAACATTAGTATTGATAGGGGCTCAAGGTGTAGGCCGAAGAAGCTTGAAAAACAGGTTCATAGTATTGAATCCAACTAGATTTGGAACTACAGTGCCATGTAAGTTTTCTGTGTTTTCCTTGCTATGCAATTGGCAGGAAAGAATATGGGCATATGGAGGAGGGGGATTATTATCATTAATTATTGCTATGCCCAAATAAGTTTTCTTTATGACAGTGAAAAAGAACAAGTAAAAGACATTGAAAAATTTAGTAATTCTGCAGCTGTCTTGAAATAGTGCTGCAGTGCTGTTGGCTTCCTGTCTGGTGGCAGTTGCTTCTCTAAGCTATTCAGTTCAGCAATGTTAGCATTAAATGCATATATTAGAATTGTGGCAAGATAGACATTTAGGATTTTCTTGTACTGATGTATATCTGAAAAGTTGGATTTTTCAACCATTTTAGTGTAAAGAAAAAGGGAAAGTTTCTGATCCTCAGACATACCCAGTGTGGCAACAGCTGTGTGAATGTACATGGTCTGGCTTGTAGCTCTCAGTTGTGCAAGGTCATAAACCTGATTTTTGATAACATATCAAGAGTGATTCACCTTTTACTGCAGGTAGCATTAAGGTTACAAAGTCTGATGTATAGAGTAAAATAATACTGGTGAGAAGTACAATCATTAAGGTAACTAAACACTCATTTTAGGTCTTTGCATTCATTTCTCTATTTGCATACTTACATAGAAAGTTAAATAATCATGTCAGAACTATGCTTGATGAGAATGGAATTAGATCAAGGTGTTGCATGAGGTTAGTGACTTACTGTAGTGACTAATACACATTGTGTTTAACTGTAGTGACTAATACAGACTTGTCTTTGTTTTTGAATATGTGAGCCTTTACTTGTGAACTTGGATGTTCTCTTCCTTGAAGAAAGCAGGAGACAAGCTAACATTGCTTTCTTAACTCCCTTTTCTTTCCTTCAACCAAGTCCCCTTTTAACACAGCATTCCTTTAGGTATATTAATGCCTTTAAGCTGTTTGAAGTCATATCCTAGCCTAAGTTTGCCCCCTCTCTTAATCAAATTTTAGGTTTTGTCCAGCATATTTTGGGCCTAATTCTCAGTGAGTATTTTTATTGCTAAAATTCTTAAAAGTTAGGGAAATAACCTTGTCATTGCTCCCATGTGCCGCTTACAATCCCTTCAAGGTAAGCCTTCAGATTCTACTAAATTTAGAGAACTCCTAGTTTAGTAGTTAACAAAACAAAAACTTCTCTGTAATTAAAGTATGTTAAAGTGGCAATTGTGAAAAAAAAAGTTTTTTGCTTTTATCAAATTAATATGTGCCCAATATTTTCGGCAAGTAGTTCTTAAAGACATATAATGGGTAAAAAATAACCCCTTCTCTTCCCCTACCTCACCACTGGCTTACTTGTGAGAAACAGTCACCTTTCATTCTTTTTGCTATTTCTTTTGGTAGTGTTCCATATTTCTTAATAATGTCTTTAGTCTGCTCTTCCCTGCTTTAGCCAGTTTAGGCCTTATCTGTTTACTTCCTGCCTATCCTTCCAATACAAAGATAGCTCTATTTTCAGTTAGTTCAATTTTACTTTCTTACACAGCCTTTTCCCCTTGTGTGACCCAGGAATCTCTGGAGTTCTGTTTTTCCTTATACTACCTGATTTTATATACATGTGTGTGCATACAGTGTTTTGTTGTTTTTTAAACCAAAGACTTGTTTATCCAATAAATTGTGTGTGTGTGTGTGTGTGTGTGTGTGTGTGGTTTTTTTTTTCCCTCCCTCTGGAGATCTCTGTTTCAGAAACCTCTGTCTTTCTGCTTTGATGAGGACTACATGCTGTCCCTCTGACTGCCCAGCTGTTAATACTGGAGTAGTTAGTTCCCTTTGTTGTTATCCTGGGTTGAAGCAGTTGTTCCTAGATCCCATTCTGTCCCTTTCTTGGTTTATCACCTTGTTTCGCTGGGGCACATCCTCTTGTACGTGGAATGCAGTGCCTGCATCTTTGTGTTTTAAAATGTATGTTTTCTGCCCTTTATTTGATTAATTAGCTAAGAATAGAATTCTGGATTGTAAAATTTAAAAGCTGTTACAATGTTTGCATCATCCCTGAAAGATTCTCTGTACCCATTTCCTACCAACCTCCTTACCCACTGCTGCCACGAGCAATCATGAATCTTTCTGTCACAATAGATTTACTTATTGTGGACATTTTCTATGCTAGAGTTATACAGTATGTGATATTTTGTGATTGGCTTCTTAAAATAATGTCCAGTCTCATCTGTGTTGCAGCATGTATCAGTACTTAGTTTTTTTTCCTTGCTAAGTGATATTCTATTATATGACTATGCCACATTTTATTTATATATTTATCAGTTGATGGACATTCGGATTTTTTTTTTTTTTTTTTTTTTTTTTTTTTTT